TTACAATATATATATATATATATATATATATATACTGAAAATATACCGCTTTCCGTTTCCTAGACTGGTTTTACTTTCCCTGATTACAAAAGATGATGTCCACTCAAATTCGTGAATCCACTAAAATAATGTGTGTGGGTGTACGAAAAAATAAATGTACGCAAGGTTATAAAAGAGACAGAAAAAATTCAAAACGAAACCAAGAAACTACTAAAAAAAATGATGATTCTGGGCCAAAACTCATTGAACACTACCCAAAAACACCCCCATTTTACGGACTACTAAAAATATACAAACCGGATATCTCGGTGTGATTCATTATATCAGGAATAGGCACCACCCCACTTAAACTAGCCGGAACACTAACCAAAATTTTAACCCCTATTGAAAACATTATAAACAAAAATGAACGAGATAAAAACAGATACATAATACTACTTGCTAACATCCAATATCCAAAACAATCTATCCAATTTGAACAACATCAAAATCGAAACCACATCCAAAACTACTATGCACTATTTATTATCAAAACCAAAAATACGTATAACAATAATAATTCTTAACCTGTATATATAAAATAAATCACCAGATGTTTTCCCAGCAGTACATTGAGGAAACTTGCAGAAATTTAAAAAAAAAAAACGTATCTATGAAGACAAAAAGAACGTTATACACGACAGTTTATCAAATGCATTATCTATACATAGAAATAAATTCAGCCACGACTTTGAACTACCGAATGCCACACTTATAAAAAAAAAAGGAAAGTAACTTAAAAGAAAAATTATCGGGAGTGCCACAATCGAATCCAAATAGAAACCTGATTAATATTTATGAGCGTGCCTAAACTTAAAAATTTTGAAAATCCAATAAGATTTTTGCTCTTGTATTTAAATACTTGTTACAAAAAAAATCCTTGCATTTGACGAAATGCGTCGGCTAAGATAAGTTTTTCGTTTGTGTTTATTCATATATATATATATATATATATATATATATATATATATATATATGAGGGTGTGTGTGTGTGTGTAAAAATTTAATGGACTTATTTTTAATCAGCTATTTTTATTACTAAAAAATCTTATCGTCGAGAGACGTGATACACACTGTTTAAAAAATAAAACTTCTAGAGGCTATTGAGTAGGAATAACTCTGCATGTGATTATTTGGAGCTATTTTATATTGTGTTTGGTAACTTTTTATTCTTTATTTTTTACGGATTACTTATTTGTTGTTGATTATAATTATTACACTTACTTGATTTTATGGTTTGTTAATTTGTTTATTATTTAATTCATTTATTTGTTTTTTCTCGGGGTCGATTATCTTATGTTTAGTTTAAAGTATAGACTTTGTCTTACGTATATTACACTAGCAGCATGACCCGGCATTGCCCGGGCTTGATTCAAAAATCGTACGACTCATACAGCAATCGCTATCACTTGACTTAAAATATTTTTGTCCTTCCTTGCCTTTAAAGGAGTGCCCTTAGCCGTGCTGATGTTGCTACATGCCTTACTTCTTGCCTATCTCACACTGCGAATTTTTTCTTAGCTCTACACTAAACATTAAATCTGTTACGAAAAAAGAACTAAACAAAATGAAAACAAAACGATCAGCTTTAAAAAAGGACTCGTAACTGGAAAAACCGAATGAAAAAAGAATGTTAACAACAAATACTTTTTCACACCCAACCCTGTTCTGCGGAATCAGAATCAACGTTGAGTTTAATCAAGAGAATGAGCCAATTGGATTAAAGTGCCATGCAGATTTCAAGTTTTCCTACTTTTTTTTTGGATGCTAGCATGCTAGTTAACATTCGTGTCAGTCAGCTGTTGGCTCTCACGCTGGCCAATAGAATCTTCCTGCCTATTCGTCAGCTATAGGCTCTCACTCTGGCCAGTACAAAATGGCCGCGAACTACATGAAAAATTCCGTAGAAACATGAGAAAAATCGATTATTTCCACGATCGATGGGAGTTGCGAAATGCAAAGTCGGTCTTGGCCTTCCCACTAACTTGGAGTATGTGCATGTAAATTTTGGTGCAAATCCGTCGAAAATTGGGGCCGTGCATTCGTTACACACTCACATATCCTGCCTTTTATAGATAGAGATTATCTGCTTTGTATATAGTGTATATATTTGTATTTATCCTGTTTGCGTGTTAACAACACTATAATATGGATACAAATAACCGAATTTTGATCCACAAATGTTCCTACTCAATAGCCTATAGACTAAATTGAAACACAACCGTTACCGCCCCATTCAATAACCATTAAGATAACAGATCTCATTATCTATAACTAGCCAGTATATGTGTACAAATAGTCGAGCCCAAACACAACAAACATGGCCTGAAGATTGCGTTATATAGGCCTCTTCAGATTTTCAGACCACTAGAACGTAACTGAAAGACACCTACGCTAATGCATCACGATAAAAAAAATGGTAATTTTTTGAAAAAATAATTTATTTTTTCCCGTGATGCATTAGCGTAGACGTGTTACAGTCATCAATATATGAAGCTAGACTCCCCCCTCACCTTTTTCAGTTGCGTTATTGTCGTCGAAAGATTGCAAGAACATTAAAGTTGAGTAAGGACTCGGGCTGTCCTTTTTGCTGTCTAAGTAATCTGAGCTTTGGGCACTTTACTGAGTAGGTAGGTGTTTGCTTTTTGGTATTTCTTTCGTTTTTTTCCCCTGTCCGGGATTTTTTCTGGTCTAAAGAGTTAGGTCTTTTTTTTCCAGTTGTCTGTTGATATAGTTTATATATATATATATATATATTTATATATATATATATATATATATATATATATATATATATATATATTTTAATCATATCATTATAAGTATATATATATATATTTAATCATATCATTATAAGTATATATATATATATTTAATCATATCATTATAAGTATATATATATATATTTAATTTCATTATAAGTATATATATATATTAATTATATATATATATATATATATATATATATATATATATATATATATTTTCATATTTTTAAATAAATAATTATAATTATGCTCTACTTTTGTATCGAGCACTATTTTTTTAAAAATAACAAAAAAATACTAAAGAACTTTGGATTATTTACCTAACGAGTTCTTTTCCTATTTTTTATATATTTTTACACACACATACATATATATATATATATATATATATATATATATATATATATATATAAATTATAAAAAGATTACTTAACTTTTAAATATTAATTTTACCCCTTTAATATATATGAGTGTGGGTGTGCATTAAAAATTGTCCCAGTAACAAATATGTTCCATTAATATGTATTTACTTAAAACTAATTTTTATTCTTACCAAAGTACACCACATGTTTCTTTTCTTTTTTAGCGTCATATGCCTTCAAGGTGTAGGTGATCATGACTTTTCACGGCTTCCTTTACTTTTTTTAATACCATATCTCTTCAGGGTGTAGATGATATCTCCTCACTGCTTACTTTTCTTTTTTTAATGTTATATCTCTTCAAGACGTAAATTATCATGACTCTCCGCGACTTCCTTTTCTCCGGAAAGATAGTTGAGTGGTTTCCCGTTGCCTTCTTCACGGTTTACAATTTAGAGTGATTTTTTGCTTTTCCAATGTGCATTTGTGCGAAAGTGAATGCAACAGTCTAGCATAGAGTTTGAACTCTAATCACCAATTTTACTTGCGACGCCGATAACTATTGCAATAACGACATATCCCCTATTTGCATTGAATACAGTTCAGCATAGTTTTCTATTTTTTAGAACTTTGTTTCCACAAGTAATTGGTAGCCATTTTTTTTTTTTTGCTCTTCCAACGCCCCATATTTCTGTCAAATTTTCTATCGTCTGTTATTATAATACTCAGTCAAATTTCTGTACCTGCTTGATTCTAATGTCTCCAATTCGAAGAGCACATCGTTGGTTGTCTCTCTTGCTGACGGCTATACATTCTGTAAGTTCGATATGATTTATTCAATGGCATTGTTTAAGCTTTGGTAAGACTATGTTTATTAACTGTCAAAATTCCAAGGTAGCATGAAACGATAGCTACACTGGGAATACGTTGAATCTTTTGAAAAAGTAACAAAAGCAGACAATAAACAAAATAAAGGCAATTACAAATGTTTGTTTAGTAACGGAAAAACGATCCTTATAAAAATATCTCTTCTCATTTGTAGCTCGTCTTTTCTCTTGGCGCACATTATTCAGCCGCCATCTTATTGACGCCGTTCACCTTTCCGCCTATCCAAAGCATTTGTTTTCGTTTTTTTTTTTTTTTTTTTTTTTTTAAAAAAGGCCTCAAAATTAAAGATAACTAAATAAAAGCGCTCTCTTTTGCTTCCGATTTCATGTCCTGACACTAATATTTCAACAACATTTTATATATTTTTAAAAGCCTCGTCGTTATTCTTTCTTATTTTTTATATACTTATCTTCACTTACATCAAGAGGCACTTAAGGCAGAGGGTTACTGTATGGTACTTTATGAAGTTCATGTGGCTGTACAAGAAAGATTACAGTTAACCCTAGACTTGGAGAGAACAAGATTGTAGTGACTCGGAAAGCATCCTGCCGAAAGTCACTTACACAATGTAGCAGTTCTTGGAAAGAAGCCGTCTAAATGGAACTTACCCCTTACTAATGGAATACGAAGGGAATGGTTCATTCTTGTGTATGTGGCATGGCGAGCGTCTCGCGACGTTACATTGTAGAGTGGAAAATAATTTATCACCCGCAAGGCAACGTAGACGCTTTTTTTTTAAACTAAATCAAGACAAGCAAGTGAGGACTTGGCAGTTTCAGCCGAGATATAGCAGTAATACTCCATTTTTACTATTGCAAGTTTGAATTTTTTTTCTTTATTTTTCTTTCAGATTGAGACTATCGGAGATGCTTATTGTGTAGTCGGGGGTCTGCATCGGCCGAGTCAGTACCATGCCCAGCAAATAGCCTGGATGGCTTTGAAAATGATGGAAGCTTCACAAACCCAGAAGTCACATGATGGAAAAGCTATCGAAGTAAATATTATTGTGATTGCTGTTTTTTTTTGTTTGTTTTTTTGTTTTGCTTTTTTGACATTTGATTTTGTGTTTAATATCGTGCACCAACATCATTTATAGTTTTCCAAATATTTTTCGGGTTAGCTGTTTAGCAGAACAATTTGAGATAAGAAAATGAGTTATTATTGCTGTCCCATAAAATTTGATACATTTTCAAAAAGAATGCCGTGATGTTTCCGAAACCCACCTCTCCAAGATTTTTTTTTTTATATAACTATCGAATAAGAACTCCAAATCACGCATATTGATGTTCATTTAATTTTCTGTATTTTAAGAGTAAGGTTCTATTTGCTATGTAAATTCATCCCTCTTCGCAAGCCCCACAATTAAAACAGAAACAATGTTTTCAAACCACGTAAGAAAGCATATTAGGACTTACAAAATTTCAAATAACTTCATGTTAAAATAAAAAGCGGTTAATATTTATATTGTTCAAAAACATTTTTTTTTATCAATTTGCCCCAAACAAGGCAGTAATGCCACTAAGACGCAAGGGGCTATTGGGAGCAAAAAAAATGAGAAGCCTTTAGAAGGAACCGGAAACCCAATCTTAAACCGGAAACAAGGAGTAAACCTTTACTCCTGTTCTGTTCAAAAGACCGGGGGGAGTGTAAACCGGGCGATAGGCGAACCCATCTACTCCTACCTTTTTCGGTGTTGTGCTAAAATAATGCTTACATCCCAAATTTCAAATAGTTCGTAACAACCACGATATATGAATCTAAAGCATATTCATACCTTTTCTCTTTTATTTTTAATTACTTCCGTTACTTTTATTTGATAAGTGCGGGCTTGCGTAGGGGATGAATTATTATTATTATTATTATTATTAGGAGAAAAAGAATCATTGTCAAATATTATTAATTTTTAGATAGTCTTTCATCGTAATTCTATTTGCTAGTAATATTCGTGATGGATGTGCTTTGGAGTGTAATGGATATCGGCTCGGAATGCGAGGTCGGTAGAACCGAGTTCGAATTCTGATCGAGTTCATTGCGTACACTTACAAGCAAAAACCCTTGGGAGAGGTATGAATCCATCTCTTCTCACCCTCAGCTGTCTATGGGTGGAATGGCAGGACATATTGGCAACCAGCCTACCTCAGAAAAAAAACGGCAACCTACTGCTGGAAAATCTTCTGCCTAGTCAGCCATGAATCGAAAGATAAATGATAGCACAGGCATGTATCACGTATGGCACTTAACTGACTAACTCACTGAATATTAATAATAAATAATTTTGAATTTTATTATTATTATTATTATTATTATTATTATTAGATGAGTTATTGTCAAACATTGTTAATTGTTTACATTATTTCTTTCTTCTTAATTTCTATTGCTTTTCATACAACAATGTTAAATTATCAAAAATTATGGACACGTTATGTTTTATGCCGCTTATTCTGAAAATATTGTTTTCTTTCCCTCCCTCAGATGCGAATCGGTGTCCATAGTGGTTCTGTTCTCGCTGGTGTTGTTGGGACAAAAATGCCTCGCTATTGCCTGTTTGGTAATAATGTCACGTTGGCCAACAAATTCGAATCTGGCAGTATTGCCAAGCGAATAAATATTAGCCCAACATCATACGAGTAAGTATCTTTCTCATTAAACTTGTATGTTAATCGTTTCAAACATAGTTCAGTCTGGGAAATGGTTGCAACGAGTGGGAAATCAATGAAGATTGGACGCACGATAATGACTTGTGATCATCTCATGATAATTGTCGATCTACGAATGCCGTCTCCAAATGAATGCAGTTCAAGAATCATACCATGTATATTTTTAGACATTTTCGCAGTCTAAACAAGGAAATCGGTTTATAAAATTAATGAATAAGTTTGATTCTGATTTTTTATGTAAGCAACAGGATATGATTCAAAACCATAGATAAGTAGGAAAAATGACAAAGAAGTGATTCCGTGTTTACACTGTGAAATGATTTATAAGTATAAATATCAAATGTTGGCAAATACTCCGACAAAATAATCAATGACTTAGGTGTATATGAGGAAAAACTAACCCCGATATTTATTTCTGAATATATGGACGCACCCAGCCGGTCGTAATTAGCAGATACCTGCTCGACGGAATTGAAAAAACTGAATAAAAGTGATGTATTATTGTTGAAACTTGACTAATGCATGGAATAATAATGCAACACAAAATATACTTAGAACAAAATGTATTGAAACAAGAAAGTGTACAAAATATTTACATATAGTCTTTTGTATATTCCTGGTAAGACCGTTTCTGGAGAATGTGTTGACTGAGTCGCAGTCGGGCAGAGTCTCTGGTTGAATCTCTTGATTCCTGTATTTATCTATCCACCCACGAGGATAAAATGTGGCACAAGGCCGGTTTAAAGTGGGTATCTCCGAGCCCGTAGGCTCGGCCAAAAATATGGCCTTTCTGAACCCGCCTAAACGGGTTCAAGGCCTGTCTACCACCCCGGACGAAACCCTGCCTCTCGGCAAAGCCTCGTCCGGGTCCCTCACTGCAAAATGCAGAGAGTTCGACTGAGAGTGAATCTCTTGATTCCTCCCTCTCTTCCCGGTACCAACCATATTTATATAAAAGAGAGGGAGGAATCAATTATATAAAGAGAAAAATCAAATAATGAATAAATAATTTTATTTGGAGCTTTTGTAACCAGCATGGGTTTGGTTGGTTTAATTTACGTCTCAACTTTTGATTGTAGAAATCAGTTTTCATATTTGAGTCTATGACGATTGATTTGGGCCCGTCAGAAATAAATATTGATCGCTTATATTTGAGACTAGTTTAAAACTACATTCCGTACGGACTTTTAAGTTAGCTCCTGTGGAGGTCTAATTATACCTCCTGTGCCAAAAAATAAAGTGACGCCTGGTTCAGCTTAGAAAACAGCAATGATAATTTTGAAGAAATAACTTTGAATTCCTCAATTCACTCCATGGAACTTAACAAAAAAAAATTCACTTTAAATCCAGTTCCGGCGAAAAGTCCGATTTGGGCCGAAAATACAATTCTGGTCATAAAATGACTTCTTCAAGTCACAATCTCCGTAGAACAACAATTGAGTTGGGTTCTTCAAATCACAAACTCTGCCGAACTTCAAAACTTCACGTCACTAAAACTCACTTAAACTCTGATTCCTTGGTATTTTGAAGAAATAAAATTGATTTTCTCAATTCACAAAGTTTTGGAGATATTTAAAAATGAATTTAAAACAAAAAAAAAATTGAATTCACAAAATTTTTGTGTTCCTTTAAACTCAATATAAATTAAAAACATTTAAAATCACTAATTTTTCAGTTATTTTACAATTTGAATTTTTAACTGTTCCTTCCTCGTCAGTACACAAATCCCAATGCTAGATGTTCAAGCACCATATCAAGTGCAGATTTTCAATCCCGGGATCATCCTGATTCCCAAAAGGTATAATATGTCCATGTAGAGCAAGGGTGACTCAATTTAGAAAGGTTTCAGACACACGGATGGGCAGACAGGATTTGCCGTTTAATTCTTTTAAAAAATACGGAAGATAGACAGAAACATAAGAAAGGAAAAGATTTGAATTTTTAACGGTTCTCTTCTCATCTGGACAGATATCCCAATGTTAAATGTTCAAGCACCAGATGAAAGACAAATTTTCAATCCCAGGATCATCTTGATCCCAAAAAAGTATAATATGTCTACACAGAACAAGTGTAGCTCCGAGTCATTTTAGACACATGGACGGACAGACAGAATTTTCCGTTTATTTATTTAGAAGATAGATTTAATCATTTTCTTGGGTCGTGGATGGATAATGTTTAGTCTTTTTTTTCATCTTTAAGCATTCACTTTAGTATATGATAAATAATTTCTGGCCGTTAATATCTGAGATCTGAAGTATTTACTTAGATTAAGGATAGATGATTGCTGGTCGTTTTTGATTGAGATTTTAAACCTTTTCTTTGCGTCGGAGATAGTAAAATATTGGTGGTTTTTATTTGCCATTCAAAGCATTTACTTGGTTGGTGCATAGATAAATCGTAGTCTTTTATATTTGAATTTCTATGCATTTAGTTCGGTGATAGGGAAATATCGGACGTTTCTTTCTGAGTCTCTAAGCATTAACATGCTCCGCGGATAAATAAATATTGGTTGTTTATATTTGGGTCTATAAGCATTGATGTGGTGTAATGGTTAACAAGCGTGTTTCCCTATAGCAAGTAAGACAATATTGAAATCAGTGGATGTCTCTTGCTTTCAGCCTTGTACCAAATCTATGCTACGATTAATAAATTGATATAAGCATTTTGCGTGGTTCGTAAATAGGTAAATATTAATGATTCATAGTTTAATATATAAGCATTTACGCGGTTAGGGGAAATGTAAATACAGGTTTTCATATTTGAGTTTACAGTTTATTTGTTTCGGGGATGAGTAAATATTTATCCTTTGTATTTTGATCATATAAGGATTCTTGACAAAACTCAAAGAATCGTCTATAATGTAATTGACCCTGACCAGGTTTCTCGAATTCAGTCACTTTCTCACCGATGTGACGTGGCATGCCTCTGTCCTTTCTACAAATATTTTCGTGGAAACTGCTCTGACGAGCTTTTTTTTTTTTTTTTCTTGCCTTGTGCCCCGACTACAAGAATTTAAGCGTTCTGCTAAATTGGTTTTACTGTTGAACACGATAGATGCAACCGTCATTTCTACTCCTTTGTTTCGCACTTCCTGTTCTGTGGAACTCCGTTCCGATTTCTTGGTTTCCTGATAACTAAGATCTTCAAAAATTTAAATGTAACGTCAATCGTTATCATCTGTGTTTATGAAGCCTGTTCCTTTTTTTTCTTCTTTTCATAATCCTCCCCATTCTCTTTCACTTTCACTTTCCCTCTCTGTAACCCCTTGAGTTCTAGTGGCGTTATCAATTTGCTTGGGGGGAAACGATTTAAAAAACTTATACGGTTAGGATATAATAATTATTGATCGTTTATATTTACATTTGAAAGAATTTCCTCCGTAGGTGGCGTCTTCAAAATGGCGATGCAGTTGATGTACCCTCAGGGAATGTAATCAATATGTGATTGAGAGCAGAAGATAATGCCGATGTTTAGAAATAATATATTGGGTCAGAACAGAAGTTCCTAGCGTTTTCCAAATTAACTTCAAAGATAATATTTAGATATTTGTACATAGATTTATTCATGCGCATTTTATACTCGCAGAACATTTTCTGCATGTTGAACAGTCTAAATGGTTTTACAAGCAGGGGTGGGGGCATATTTTTCTAACAAGATTTCTCGAATATTCAATAAAAAAAATCACAAGGTGCCAACTCAGGTGGACTTGGTGGCCATTTCAACAACACATTGTCATTATTACTAACACGTCTGACCGATCTTACTGATAGATTCTTATTGAGATATGTCCACAAAGTCAACTTAGTTTTTAAACATTTTGTTAAAATTTGAGAAAATTTGAGCGAGAATTGTCTATGTTATTAGACTACAAAATGATGTCAATTTGTAGGGGACGCCCTGTGCATAATCTAACAATTTCCGATAAGATGACGTTTTAAAATGTGAATATCTGAGTAACAACATGTTCTAGGCAAACGAAATTCAATAGGCTTCGTGCCGATTTATTTATCAAAATTCGAACAAGATATTCAAAGGGGTGTAGATCTTATAACCGATTTCACAAAGCTTCGCAAATGTTCAATATACGCAGCACCTGTGTCTCGACAATCGTCAAAACGGTAGTCCAGCTCCTGTCAAACACGCTGTAGCATGTCTCACGTAACATTCTCTAGTGCCTCAGTGATTATTTCCTTTCGGCTCGGTGATTCTCTTCTCTAGGCTAGTAGGAAGAGGGGGCATATGTCCTTTCACATAGCCCTATAGAAAAATGTCATAAAGTGTCAAGTCAGGTGAGCTTAGTGGCCATTTCAACAGCACATTGTCTTCTTCACTGGCACGTCTGTTCCATTTTACTAGTAGATTCTCATTGAGATAAGTCCTCACAGTCAATTTAGTTTTTAAACATTTTGTTAAAAATTGAGACAATTTAAGCGAGAATTGGTTATGCTATCAGACGTTAAAATGATGTCAATTTTGTGGGGGACACCCTATATTTCAGGATATATCCCTTAAAGACGACCTCTCCAGCTTTTGGAGTTCAATACCGTCGCAAGTTACAGTTCTAGCGGTTCAAGAATGTATCGACCATGTGTTGTGATATAGATCAACAATATGAAGGTAGAATAAAACAGACATTTTGGACAAGAAGTGAGCTACAGATTGGGGACGTTAAAGTGAACAATTTACAGAAATTTAACTATCTGTATCGTGTAGTAACAGACGACAGAAAATGTGACACAGGAATTCGAAGACGCATCGGAATATCGAAAGAGCCCTCCAGAAACGAAGTATTAAGACTAAGATTAGAAACAAAAGGAAGATTACTGGACTGATATGTAATACATAATCACCTATCTAGCTGTGAATGCCGGACATTTTCCTCACAGATGAAGAAAAGACTTGAAGCGACAAATGTGGGTCTACAGACAAATGCTGAGAATACCATGGACTGAACATATGACCAACGAGTA